TAGAGTCTTAGTGTCTGGAATGTTCTTCCACTTAACAGTAATAATGATTTGGGGCAAATTATTCTATGTGCTTTGTCTTTTTCATCTGTAATATGTGAGTAATAAAGATGATGATCTTTCCTACCTTACAAGGTTGTTGAGGGGTCTTAATGAGATAAAGCATCTAAGTGTCTTAGGTTGATGTCTAAGCATGTTTTTGGTATTAACAAGAGTCACCAGTGCTCCTGTTTGATCTGGTGAATGATCACTGCTGTCCTTTGGTGCCACTGGTCTTGCCTTGTCTCCATTACAGGGTAAGGGTAGGGGAAAGTGTTACCAAACCAGGTTTGTTGGCCAACATGCAGTAAGCCAAACACTGAGATGCCGAGGTTTGCAGCAGAGAAAGTGTTCATTCACAAGGCAGCCAAGGGAAGAGGCAAGAGAACAAGTCTCAGATCTGCCTCCTGGAAGGCGAGAGGCTTGGGATATTTATTAAGGAAGCAGGGTGGTGGTTGATCTTAGGTGTGGAGAAAGATGATTGCAGGTAGGATGAGGTCATTCGTCTTCTGTGCAGGTGTACCTGAGTTACTTGCTTCTTTGTGGGATGCATGTTCCAAAATGGAGGTGCTTAGCATGATCTGGGGTTGGAGTTTTTGACCCTATGCCATCAAAAGGCCATTCACTGGACACCTGTGCAGCTCCAGTTTTAGGTGGGGCTTCCCTGATGGCTCAGATGGTAAAGAATGTACCTTCAAAGCAGGAGATCTGGGTTCGAGCCCTGGATCGGGAAGATCCCCTGGGGAAGAATATGGCTACCTACTCCAGTGTTCTTGCCTGGAGAATTCCATGATCAGAGGAGCTTGGTGGACTACAGTCCATGGGGTCTCAAAGAGTCATACATGACTGAGCAACTAAGACACAAAAGCAGTGTTAGTTGGCTTGAACTTGAGCCCAACACAGCTGACTCCAGGTTTCTGGAAAACAACCCAGGCAACATCTTACCATTTTCAGCTGCATGATGCTTGGAATACAAGCAAGGCTTTTGTAGCAAGAAGGCAAGCTTGAATGGTGAAGGCAGGTTACAAGCGGAGGGGTTTTTAACAAACTGGAAGGCAAGCTCAAGAATTCGTATTAGTCACCAGTTTCGGTTAACCCCATGGGGCGCCTAATTTTGTACCTCTTGTCTTTGAGACTCTGAGTTTCATTGTCTCTTCTGAAATTTTGTTAGTGTTTCTGGTTTGACATTCACTCCGTTAGGTCACAAGCATTCACTCCTATTCCTTGGGAATCCTTAGGTTTGGGGTGATCTCCCCCCAGCATTTGGCTTGCAGCCCTGGGAGGTGGAAACCCAGGTGGCCAGCCCCGGCCCCAGCCAAGTCCTGGATTCTGGGTGCTCAGTCTTTCTGTCTTTCTTCCCGAACTTTGCTGTCTCTGTTCCCTGAGTGCTGGCTCAGCCCTCATTTTACTTCTGTCCGACTCAATTTTCAGTCAGTCCATTTTCCGTGGATTTATTCCCCTTCCAGTGACTGTGAGGGAGAGATCAAGCATCTGTTATACACTTGTTCTAGAACCTACCATCCCTCACATGACCCACCACTTCTCAAAGTGTGTAGACTGAGGTTATGTGTCTTTCTTCATTGGTTTATTTTCTGCTCTGGAAAATTTCCTGGCTTTTATTTCACCTCTTGTTGGAAAAAAGCACAATTCTCTGATGAGATTTTATTTTGCCATCTTTATCTGGAAATCTGCAGTGAGCTTTTAAAAGTATAAAAGAAAGATAGAAAAAAAAGATTTCCTGGGTCCAACCCTAGACCTTCCATTTCAGAGGATCTGAAATGGTGCCTAAGCATCTCCTTTTTAAAAGCCTGCTGGCAGCTCTTAGGAACAACCAAATTTAAGTCTAGTGTTTTTATTAAAAGCTGTGTATTTTCCTCCTACCTTTTAATTAGCCTATCTGAAGAGCAAATATATAAAACACTTGTTTCTCAGAAAGATCTCATAACTTTAAAGTTACTTTTGGTGGTTTATTTGCTTGCTTATTTTTAAAACAGCTTCATACAAATAGGGCAAGAAAGCCCATTTCGAGAGAATGGAAAGGCAATTGCTCTTTTTTTTTTGTAGTGGTCCCTGACAGCAGTATCTTTGGATCTGAAGTTCTCTTCTAGACCTCTTAAGGTTTTAGTTTTCTGTTAGCATTTATAGAGTGAATTATTCATTGATGCTTTTAAGAAGCGTTTGAATGCTATACATGTTTAACATTGTCAAAGTGATACTCATGCACAGAAGTGGACCATCTTTACTGGAGATCACCCACAGCAGGTCTTTAGTCCTGTCTGGGGTTTGACTGGGAAAACGGAACTATAAAAATTGCTGGTTTCTCCTGGATCTCGTCAAGCTCTGCTTCGTTCAGTTAGGTATAAAATTTGAACTATTTTTATGGCTAAGGACTGTAAGCTAAAAAGAAAGTGTGAGTTTAAATAAACCTCTAAAATAACAGTTTTGAATGGGTTTTTATATAAGGTGTGAATTTAGAAGTGGCATTTTTCCATTTGTAGTTTATGGTTAGCAGAAGAAAATGGTCAATATTTAAAACCATGCACTAAAAATAGCTAATGAAACTTCTAGACTTTTCAATAGTGCAGATCACATATATGCTGCTTTAAATATATTTGCGAAAGAATCTATTGATTTTCTAGTCATCTGCTTTACATGGCTCCCCTTTTAATATTCCTGGTACATGTAAATTGGAGCTACTGTTTATATTAGATCTATCTTTTTTTTGACTGCACTGGGTCTACATTGTGGTGTAGGGGCTTAGTTGCTCCAAGCACGTGGGATATTAGTTCCCCAACCAGGGATCAAACCTACGTTTCCTGTATTGGAAAGCAGATTCTTAACCACGGGACCACCAGGGAAGTCCCCAAATCTTTAAAGATGAAATGTGGTAGACCAACTCCAAGAATTACACTGTGTTATCATATGTAAGATTTCTCTTTTCTGCATGATTGTTTAGCACTTGCTTTAGATATTTAATATTTAGGAAATACTGCTTCTTCACAGTCTTTTGAATCTAAATCTACCAGATAATCTTTGCTGTGAGAGTATCAGTAGAAAAAACACGATGTAGTTTAAGCACAGCTCATGTGATAGCAGCCTCCAAGTCAGTACATTTTTCTTTTATCAGTTTGTCTACTTAAAAATTTTAAATTGTTATGTACCCCTGCCTTTTTAAAGTAATTGCGGCAATCACTATTCTATTGGGTGATATATATTCCCTTGGAATTTCAAAACTTTAAGGGACAAGAGAGGTCATTTCACGCCCCTGCCTCGGGGTTTTAGAGATGAGGAACTGGAAGCGCAGACTTGCCCATTGATTTGTTCGAGGTCACACCACCCAGACACATGCTGTCTGGATTCCCAGAGCAATGTCCTTTTTACTGAAGTCCTCTGCCTCTTGTGTCATCTAGTAACACCTGTTGGAGACGAACTCACGTTTCACTCTGTCTGTAAAATGTACCATGATCAAAATTGCAAATTTATTACTATATACTTCTCTAGGCACATCTGTAGATTCAGGGGAAATGAAAGAAATTAAATGTGAAATAATGAAAGTAGCTACTATGAAAGAGGAATAGCAATAGGGAATAAAAAGAGAAGTGAATAGTGAAATGGTGTCATTTGGAGAGTCTCACTGTGGACTGCTAGTCACCTCCTAGGACTGTTCTTTCTCCTCCCCTTCTTCTTTTTTGTGAAAATTGAAGTGTAGTTGGTTTACAATGTTATATCCATTTCTGCTGTGCAGCAAAGTGACTCATTTACACATATACTTACTGAGTCACTTCTTTTGCGTATTTTTTTCCATTATGGTTCATCCCAGGGCATTGAATATAGTTCCCTGTGCTATTCAGTAGGACCTTATCGTCCATTCATGCTACAGGTAATAGTTTGCATCTAGTAATCCCGAACGCTCAGTCCATGCCTCCCCTTCCCACCCTCCCCTTGACAACCACAAACCTGTTCTCTGTGTCTGTGAGTCTGTTTCTGTTTCATAGACAGGTTCCCCTGTGCCATATTCTGGTATTTGTGTTTCTCGTTCTGACTTACTTCACTTAGTATCATAGTCTCTAGGTCCGTCCATGTTGCTGCCAATGGCATTATTTCATGCTTTTTTTATGACTGCATAGTATTCCATTGTGCATGTGTACCACACCTTCTTTGTCTACGGCTGTTCTAACTACAGAAGCCAAAATAGGACACGAGAGAAATCAATCAGTGGAGCCATTGGTGAATTTTCTTTTTTCAAGATCACTCTTAGTTTTTATGAAAATTTAGGCACACGGAATGAAGAGGGGAGTATTTGGATTCTTGACCTGGAGGTGGGATTAAGAAGAGAGATTAGAGCAATTTTGGCTAATCTGAGTGTGTTCAGTGTGAGTCTGCTACACAGGTTAAAAGTTCTCCTAGTTCAATGTCTTAGCATAAACATCCCTCCAAATATTGTTTCTACTTCCTTCAAGGAGACTTATTCACACAAGTGGTTTTCATTAACTCTTTGAAAGAGAAGCCACACAGCCTTGAAAACATGCCCTTTGAATTTTAATTTTAAACATTCGTACCCAGTCCACATGTTTGCCTTGGATTTAGAGCAATAATGTTTGACTGAGGATGAGTATACGGGATGGTGACCTGGTAAGAAAAACTACCCCAGCTCAGTGCTGTAAATAAAAGCCACTGCATAGAAACCTGTGGTCTACCCTCTCTAGTTAAATAATGTTAGGTCTTAACATCCAGGTAAGTGACCAGCTGGTGAACGTGTCTATTCTTATTTGCTCTATCTATAGCTAAAAGATTCAAACCTATGCAAGTCTTTCACATTGAAAGATGGAAGGAAATAAATGGATTTCAGCTGTGAACATTTTGTGACTTTTTAACTTATAAACAAAAACACTACCTTCATCTTTTATCCCTGATTTCTCAATTATCTTTCTGTATAAGGTGACATGTCTGCCTTTTTGTTTTAGGAACCTTTCAAAGAAATACCAACCTAAAAAGAACTCGAAGGAGGAAGAAGAATACAGGTGTGTTTATCATTGATTGTTATGTGGCTGTATATATATGTCATTGGTGATGATTATAAAAGAAATCTACATATATTCTGTAGATGTAGGGTATCTACAAAAACAAATTGCATTCCTCATTCATATTTGTGTCAATTTTTAAATTGGGGGAAAGACGATAAAAACTTACTCAAATAACTTTTCTTATAGAGGCGCTAGACCTAGTCCAGATTGCTTCAATTAAGGTAATTAGGAAAAGCTTAGCCTATAAGCAAATACAGGAAGTGCGGATGGACTGTGCACTCTACATCTTGATAATATCAGGTGTCTTGTTCATCCAGGAAATATGTCCGTTTCAGACATCAGTTAAGACATCCTAACATGAATAGCCCAAAAGTATCATCTCTAATTTAGATCTAAGTATCCATGACATTAGTACATGTTAGTAGGTATATGTATTTTGGGTTTTACCTGAGCTAGTAACAAAGCCAAGTGTTGCCCGATATAGAGCAATTTGGCTTCGCACAATGAAAAATGTTCCAGTTGTAATTAATTCTGCTCCATTTTGATGAGAACACCCTGATGTGTAATGAATTTGTCAAGACCCTATGGGACCTGGGGGCACATCACCCTGATATTAATGTTAATTGCTCTTTTGCTGGCGGGAAGCCGTTTGTGAGAGGATGTGCCCTGTTTGAAAAGGAGTGGTGTGTGTTCTGTTCTGTAGGTATACGGCTTGCAAAGCCTTCCTTTCCACCCTGAATGAAATGAACGATTATGCTGGGCAGCATGAAGTCATCTCCGAGAATATGACCTCTCAGATCATTGTGGAGTTAGCTCGCTACGTCCAGGAACTAAAGCAGGAGAGGAAATCGGTAACTAAAATTTGTTTTTCTTCTTAAGAGGTGGAGCAAAGATGATGGGACTATCCCTTCAAGTTTTTGTTTGTTTGTTTTTATGGTTTCCTGTACTATACAGTAAATCCTTGTTGCTTATCTATTTTATTTATTTTTTGACCGTGCCGCTAGGCATGTGGGATCTTAGTTCCCCAACCAGGAATCAAACCTGTGTCTCCTGCATTGGAAGTGCAGAGTCTTAACCACTGGACCTCCAGGCAAGTCCCTCCCGAGAAGTTTTAAAGTTAAATGAAATCATATGAGACGGTGGGTCTTATATTGCCACCTTTGAGAAGCATATAAAAATTCCAGACCCTATTCCTAGAAAGTGTTTCTAGGTCTTTATGTACAATTTCAAGGGTCTATTATATACTCTGCAACTCATCTGTGGGCCCCAGAATACTGACCTCTTATGATGAATTTAAATATATTTGAGGCTCTGGGACATACAAGAGTAAGCAATATAATATGGTGTCTGCTGTGTGGAATAAACTGTATTAAAATAAATGCTTTTAAGGAGTTCAAAAGAGCCAGAGAGATGGCCTCAGTTACAGCCACTCTGTTCCCTGGCTCATTCATTGTCATCTAATAAAGGGCCTTTTTGTTCCTCTCATCGCCATTACAGTGTTTGCATGACATTGTTAACAAAAGGGAAAAATGTACCCTCAAGTAAAGTGTATTCATAGTCAAGATTTTGACCAAAGAGATTTATCGTTAAGCCATGGTCTGTATCACTGTACTTTGATTGATATGAGGCATGTAATACTTTGTTGTAATAAAATACCAAAGTTGGCCAGTAACATGCTTTTCTGATGCAAAGAGTCGACTCATTGGAAAAGACCCTGATGCTAGGAAAGACTGAAGGCCGCAGGAGAAGGGGGCGGCAGAGGATGAGATGGTTGGATGGTTATCACCGACTCAGTGGACATGAATCTGAGCAAACTCTGGGAGACAGTGAAGGACAGGGGAGCCTGGCATGCTGCAATCTGTAGGGTCACAGTCGGACACAACTGAGAAATTGAACAACAACAACAAAATGCTTTTCTGTATAAATTTGAGTCCTTCTTTGAGTGCTCTGGAGATATATGAGCCAATAAGACTGATAGAGTTTTTGCTGAAATGGAGGAGACATTAAATAATGATGACCAAAATCATTGTTTAATTGCAACTGTGGTAGTCTCAACAAAGTAAAAATATATATATATATACAAATGAACATATAATGGGAACACCTGACATGCTCATGCTCCAGATCAGGGGAAAGTTCCCCAGAGGGCTTGAGGGACGAGTAGGAGTCGCCTGGGACAAAGATTCAGTAGAGAGAATAGCCGTGCAAAGGCCCTGAGGCAGGAAAGTATTTGGAACAAAGTTAACAAATTGAGATGAGGTTTTTGTCTGTTCACATTAGAGCGGTGATTCCCAAGAGGGCACAGCTTTTTCTCCCCACCCCAGCAAATATGTGTCAACGTCTGGAGATGTTTTTCGTTGTTTGGGTTATTATAGCTGGGGGTGGGGATTGCTGCTGGCATCTAATGGGTAGAACCCAGAAGTGCTGTTAACATCCCATAATGCACAGGACAGCCTCCACGACAAAGAATTACCCAACCCAGAATGTCCGTCTTGGCTGAAAAGCCTTGCACCAGAGCTCCAGTAGGGTGACAGGCTCTATAGACTGTTCACGAAAGGGGAACTTTTACATGACGGCAAGGAAGAAGCGAAACAGAATCCTAAGGTTTGGAATGAAGCAAAATCCCTCATACAGTCATAAAACAAACACAGTAAATCTGGATGCGATGTTGGACTGCTTCCCTGGGTCCAGAATTTCCCTCGACCCTGCAAAGTCTATGTTAAATACCTTCTTCTTATTTGTTCCTTTGGTCAGTGCCTTGTGTCTCTTACTAACCTGCCTTCACTCATACAGTTTAGCATTTTAACCAACACCCTAAGTTAAAAACTCCGTGCATTTACCTTAGTAGGAAATATTCATTCTCTTTTCTGGAGTGAATCATGAAATGTGTAGTCCATGTAACTTGGCCTCCTGTTGCTTTTTTAAATGCCTCCCTCCAACCACACATGGCCTCCTCGCTGCTCCTCACCCATGCCCTCTGTGATGCTGACCCAGGGCCTTTGCATTGCGTTTTCTTGCCTTGGTAAAACTTTTTCCTACGTATCTGCAAAGCCCACTTCCCAACTGCTTTCTCAGGAATATCAGCTTCTCATTCAGGTCTGTCTTACTTATCTTATTTAAGATTATAGGGACTTCCCTGGTGGTCCAAGGGCTAAGACTCTGCACTCCCAGTGCAGGGGCCCAGGTTCCATCCGAGTTGGGGTACTAGATCTCATGTGCGGCAACTAAGCTGTTGTGCTACAACTAAAGATCCCACATGCTACAACAAAGACCCAACACCACCAAATAAATAAATATTTTTTAAAAATTACAAGGTCCTCCCACCTTCTCCACCTCATTTATGCTATGTCCCACTGCTTTATTTATTTTTCTTTAGCTGTTGTTGTTCAGTCACTTAACTTGTTGTACTAACGCAAAGCTAAGATAGATTCTCATGTTTGCATTTTTATGTAGATAACATTATGTTGTTGCTGTTGTCCAGTCACTAAGTTGTGGTCCGTCTCTTTGTGACCCCAGGGACTGCAGCACACCAGGCTTCCCTGTCCTTCACTATCTCCCAGAGTTTGCTCAAACTCATGTCCATTGAGTTGGTGATACTATCTAACCATCTCATCCTCTGCCACCCCCTTCTCCTCTTGCCTTCTTTAGTACATAACAGCATCTAACAGGAGAATGCAATGGCACCCCACTCCAGTACTCTTGCCTGGAGAATCCCATGGACGGAGGAGCCTGGTGGGCTGCAGTCCATGGGGTCGCTAAGAGTCGGACATGACTGAGTGACTTCTCTTTCACTTTTCACTTTCATGCACTGGAGAAGGAAATGGCAACCCACTCCAGTGTTCTTGCCTGGAGAATCTCAGGGACGGGGGAGCCTGGTGGGCTGTGCCGTCTGTGGGATCGCGCAGAGTCGGACACGACTGAAGCGACAGCAGCGGCAGCATCTAACAATTTAAGTGTTCACTTGTTTGTTTCTCTTTCACCCCACACTGGAAGCTCCACAAGGGCAAGGAGTTTCTTTTCTCAGCCCCTGAAAGAGTGACGAGTGTCAGGCTCTCGATCAATACTCTTGGAGTGAAAGAAAGGATTGAGAAGTAGAGCAGCCGTCTTTGACATAGCCTCGTTCTCAGTTAGACTTTGCTAGCTGGGGTCCTGTATTTTCTTTGTTGTGTTATGACTGCATCCTTTTGTTTAATTTACTCACTGTTAATCATATGTCTTTTTTACAGTTTGTCATATCTGTACTTTGAATTCTTTCTCTTCTTTAATCAAAAATTATAGTAATTTAATGAGTAAATGATAGGTAGTACAGACACACATTAAATGATATTTTGCAACACTTAGCATTCCTTTTACTTTAGGGAGAATTACATCTCTCTGAGTCAGACGTTCTGTTGGGAGGAGATGTAAGCAACATACTCTCTTAAAGCCTTTCGTAATTCTATTCAGATGAAAATTTAGGAAACTGAAACTTTTAAAAATTCTAGAAAGAATATCAATAAATACATGTACATTTGTGGTGTTTTAATATAATGTGTTATGAATACATTTTTTGCTCTATTACATGGTAATAGTTACCATTATTTTGAATGACTTCATGATATGGCAGTATGTTGATGCTCTAATATCAAAAATTATTTGGATAATATTGGATATTTAATCATTTGGCCTCAAGTGTTCGTTTTGATAGGTGATAATAACTGATGAGGAGGAGGGGTGGGCTGTTACACGTTTTGCTCATTGCCTTACTCACATTTTGCCCCCAGCCAGCCCACCTCTCTGGGCAGTGGTTGTTCACATACATGCTCTTGTTCCCACTGAGTTTATTTTCTTGAACTTACATCCAAGGATGCCCGATTGACAGGTATGAAGGTCTCCGCAGCATAGAAAGGGCTGTAGAAAGGGCTTCTTGGTGTCCTCTCGTCCTAAGCTGCCTTTCTCCTTGTGACCTTTCACTTTTGGTTACCCTGACTTTTCTTAGTAAGAGATCTAATTTTCTTCAGATTGACTCTCAAAACCACAGTGGACTGCTATCTCTTCTACTTTCTGGTGATGGTAATTATCAGCAGAAGGACCCCAAGAGAGGTAGAACCCAAATCCAGCTCTTCTGGGGTCAAATCCAATTGCCGCTTCACTGAGGGACTGTGAATGGTTGACAGTGAACTTCAGATCTTCCTGCGAGGAGAGGGGAGGAGAGTCTCAGCTCCTGGGGTCGGGGAGGCGAGGAAGGGACCCAGGGATTGCGGTCAACAAACCTGCTTAGGACTCCGACAGCCCCAAGAGCTGGAAAACCTTAGTCAGGATATAAAACTCTCTGGGCAACCAGTTCTGAATCTGTAACTGAGACTGATTGTAATAAACCACCTTCCAAAGTTGCGGGGAGGGTCACAATAATACAGGCCCCAACCACCTTAGCACCTCCCTGGTATTGATGCGTAGGCACTGCATATTCAGTACCTCCTATCAGGTCCTTCTCCTTCTCAATACAGAATCTCCTTCCTACTCCAGAGAAAGGGTTCGATCAGGGTTTATGACAGAAAACAGCAGCATCTACAGGTCTCCTTGTGACCATGTGTCATAACAGTATTGTCCAGTGCATTTAAAAGGACCTTTCTAAAAATGTTGACTTGGCGGATGGCATTGAAAACAAGCTGCTTTTAAGTTTTTAGGTTCTCCTGGCTGACTAGAAATACTGTCCTGCTGAAGTACCATTCTTAACTGTCAGCCTAAAACCTTCTGAGCCACTTAATACAGTGGCAAGTTCCTCCCTGCCCAAAGGGACAATTTAGAATTTACAGGATTACTGCTGGATCTCATTACTACCGATAAGAGAGTGTTTCCACATTCAGTTCCA